CTAGAACACATATTGACCCAATCAATAAGGACGAGGGCGTTCTCCCTGGCGGTGCCAACGCTGTGGAACGAGCTCCCCAACGAGATTAGAGCTCTAGGGGACCTCCAGCAGTTCCGTAGAGCAGTGAAAACGGAGCTATTCCGCTAAGCGTTCCAATAAGAACTGACTATGCCGGTGGTGTCGCACGAGCACTTTATCACAGGATGTATTAGCTGGGGTTTTATGGTACTGTATTTATATGTGTAAGGAGCTGCGGTGGCTCAAGTGGTTAAGACGCTGAACTGCAGGCTGTGGAAGGTCGGTAGTTCAGCAGTTCGAGACCCGAGTGTGCCGCAAGACGGAGTGAGCTCCCGTCTCTAGTTCCAGCTCCTGCCAACCTAGCAGTTCGAAAGCAAGAAATTGCAAGTAGATAAATAGGGACCACTTTGGTGGGAAGGTAACAGCGTTCCCTGCACCTTGGTGTTTAGTCATGTCGGCCACATGACCACAGAAAAGTCTTCGGACAGCGCTGGCTCTTCGGCTTGGAAACAGAGATAAGCCTAGAGTCGGATTCGACTGGCTTTCAAGCAAGGGAGACCTTTACCTTTACCAATAACAGGAGGAGAAGGTCACCCTCTTCCCTCCCAACACACACTTCTCGAGGTCAAGAATCTGTCCACCAGCTGCACCAGGATCAGCGGCTGGAAGGCTCCTTGCCTGGTTCTGGATTTCTGTACCGACGAAGAGGAGAATTCACAAAAAGGGTCCAGGTGTCAGTCAAAGGCAAAGGTTCGGTTCTAACAAGCAGATCATGGAACCTTCCAATAAACCTCCTTCCAATCGCAGACACAACAGGCAAAATGAAATTCAGACTGAACAGAGCCCTTAAGATTGTGTCAACAAGGACATTTCAAACATTGTAACCATACATGATATACTTAGAACGGACAAGCCAGACGGATGCATTCAAGCTCATATGGTCCCGTTCAGAAGTCCCCACAAAACGATACGTCATTCTGGAGAACTTCGTTAACTGTTTTTGGACCTCCTACACACTGTATAACTGTTTTTGGACTCTTCATGCACTGTATGTATGCAATAGTTGCTAAATATTTTGTAGTAATGTTGTACATGGATATCTAGCGTTGATTTCCAGCTTTCTGTTGGTCCTTTTTCAGTTCACGGGCTGCCTGGCTCACTGCAGAGCCACCTGTGACGTCCCGTGCATGCCATGCGGCTGTGTGGCCTTCACGCCCAGCTCCACGCAAGCCAGGGGAGGCCCTTGGACTGCGGTCTGTGAGAACGATGGTTACATCATCGATACAACCTGCAACTCTGCAAGTGTCTGCTTTCATTTTATTATCTCTACCAGACAAGGCAAAGGTTCCTTTTCTCTTTGTGGGCCTCCTTATACAGAGTCACTTATCTGATTTATACAGCGTCGAACCTGAACAGGAAAATGCAAACATTGTTTCGGCAACTTCTCACACCTTAAGCTTTCAAGAGCTTAGTGCTTCCAATTCCCATGTTTCCCGAGGGGCAGATTGATAAGCCTGGCCTGGCCACCGTCAGGGGACAGGGGGAAGAGGACGTGGGGAGTGACCATGGGCCATCATTTCGTGGGGAAAAACCCTCTTTAGAAATAATCAGAAACTCTATGGCTTTAACCATAGAGTTTCCAGCAATTCCTAGACAGGTGTGATTTCATTTCAGGGTTTTCCCTGGAAGTGACATCATCCCATTTTTTAAAAAAATATTTCCCCACTGCTGAGGAAAATAAAGAGATTGGACCTATACCCCGCCCTTCACTCGGAGTCCCAGAGCGGTTTATAATCTCCTTTCCGCCCCCCCCCCCCCAGAACAGACACCTTGTGAGGCAGGTGGGGCTGAGAGAGCTCTTTCGAGGACTGCCCGTGAGAGAACAGCTCTGAGAGAACTTGTGACTGACCCAAGGTCACACCAGCAGGTGCAAGTGGAGGAGTGGGGAATCAAACCCGGTTCTCCCAGATTAGAGTCCGTGCTCCTGACCACGACACCAAGCTGGCTCTCATGACTGGCAGTGGCAGGGGAGGGGAACTAGAGGTGGGTGCGGGGATGCCAGGACAAGGGACTGGGTACCCTACCTGGGAGAAAGAAAACCCAGTGTAAAGGAAGGATGTAGCAGGTGTGGAATTGGCATATGCAAGAGAGAGCGACACCACCACTCTCAGCATCTAGGTAAAGAGTCCATTCTTCCAAGGCCCTGACTCATGTTTGTCCTCTACTTTTTACACCCACTTATTAAAGAATATGTTTAAAATCCAGTGAGGCCCTAAGCTCAGGGGTTCCATGACACCCACCAACAGCTTTCCTGGCATCTGCCAAGTGTTTTTAGAAAGTGGGCAGGGCCAGGTGGGGCCTTTGTCCAGCAAGGCTTCTGATTGGCCACTGGAGATTTGATTGGCTGTGCAGATTCTTTTTTTTTTACAGTTGCCTTGACAGTAGCTGCCACCACAGCACAAGGAAAATCAATTTGGTGTGGTGGTTAGGAGTGCGGACTCTAATCTGGGAGAACCGGGTTTGATTCCCCACTCCTCCACATGCAGCTGCTGGTGTGACCTTGGGTCAGTCACAAGTTCTCTCAGAGCTGTTCTCTCAGGAGCAGTCCTCGAAAGAGCTCTCTCAGCCCCACCTTCCTCAAAGGGTGTCTGTGGTGGGGAGGGGGAGGGAAAGGAGATTGTAAGCCGCTCTGAGACTCCTTCGGGTAGTGAAGGGCGGGGTATAAATCCAATCCCTTCTCTCCTCTTCTTCTTCATCTTCACTGTGTGACCGAGGGCAAGGTGCAGCAGCCATTTTTGTGGCTGGCTCCACCTCCTGGGGCAGCCATTTTGCAGCAACCATTTTGTGGCTTCACTCACCACACTCTGTCAGAATTCCAAAAGTGCCTGCAGGCTCAGAAAAAATTGAGGGCTCCCCGCCCTAGTTCATGAGGAACAGAATATATGCCCTCAGGAGTTTTAAAGGACTGGCTCCAAAGCAACTCCCACCATCTCTGCTTCTGTCGTTTCTGTTGTCAGGACGCCCTGCATGCTTTATAACAGCAGAAGCTGTTAAATGCTTCCTATCCAAAGAATACAGCAGCAGCAGCAGCAGCAGCAGCAGCAGCAGGAGGAGGAGGAGGAGGAGGAGGAGGAGGAG